GCCTCGATAATTGAATGCATCATTTTAAGAGAAAGCAATTAGAAAATTTATATGACGATGTAGCTAGCATGAAATGCATGAATTGTATTGGCCAAATGTATAACATGAAGTTCGGGTTATTACATCCTCCCCTCCTTATAAAAACTTCATTTTCAAAATATGCTTACCGAAATGTTCAGGATATTTAACACGCATTTCATCTTCTCTTTCTCAATTAGCCTATTTGGTTGATTGATTCCACCACAGTACCTTAACCAATGGAATTTTCTTACTTCTTAGTCACTTTATCTCTCGTTGAAGGATCTCTATAGGTTTTTCTTCGTAAGTCAAATCTAGTTTTATCTCCATCGGTTCATTCTTCAATACATGAGAAGGATTTCCAATGTACTTTCTTAGCATGGACACATGAAAACACATTGTGTACTTGAGACATTGATGAAGGAAGGTCAAGTTTGTAGGAGACATTTCCAATTCTCTCACTAATAATAAACGGACCAATATATCTTGGCTTAGTTTTCCTTTCTTTGCAAACCGCATCACTCCTTTCATCGGTGCTATCTTCAAAATTACTTGATCTCCCATAGTAAATTCCAACCTTCTCCTTCTTTGGTCTACATAGCTTTTCTGTCGATTTTGAACAGTTTGCATCTGCTAACGTATTTGTGTCACCACTTTAGCCATTTCACGTACCATATTCAGACCTAATAGTTTTCTTTCCCAACCTCATCCCAATGAACTGGAGATCTACATTTTCTATCATATCATGTTTCATAAGGAGCCATTACAATCGTAACATGATAACTATTATTGTACACGAATTCTACCGAAGGAAAAAATTTACTCTACTGACCTTCGAAATCTAATACACAAGCCTCAGCATATCTTCCAATATTTATATTGTTCTTTCTGATTGTCCATTAGTTTGAGGATGATAAGCCATGCTAAAAGATAGTTACATTCCCAAAACCTTAGGTAAGCTTCTCCAAAAGAGAGATAAAAACATAGAATCCATATCTGAAACAATAGATAGTGGCACCCCATGAAGTCTGACTATTTCTTGTACATAAAGAAGATCATATCAATTCATGGAATAAGTGGAACAAATTGGAATGAAACGAGCTGATTTTGTTAACCTATCCACAATAACCCAAATACGACCGTATCCCTTAGTCACTTTTGGTAATTTGACAACAAAGCCTGTTGTGATTCTGCCCTTTTCCACTCTAGGATAGGTAATGGTTGTAAGTTTCCTGCTGACCTTTGATGTTCTGCCTTTATCTGTTGACATATTAAACATTGTCCCACATATTCAACTATATCACCTTTCATGTTTAGCCACCAATAATGCAACTTCAAATCTTATACATTTTAGTAGTTCCTGGATGAATATGGTGTCGTGTGAGCTTCAAATAGAATATCACCTTGGATATTTTATGCATCAAGTACATATAATCGCCCCCAAAATCGCAAGATACCATTTTTTGATATCCGAACGTCTGACACTTTTTCATCATGTATATCCTTCCTTTTCTTGGAACAATACTCATCTCCCTGTTGTTTTTGCTAGATTCTATTTGATAAAGTTAGCTGAAGTGTCAATGCTGCATGTTTAGCCTCTACCAATCCTAGCGGTATGATTTCAATATCCATTTTCTGCAAGTTTACAAATTTTGATCTTTGAGTCACAATCATAGCTGTAACGCTCGATATTGATTTTTTACTCAACACATCTGCTACAACATTAGACTTGCCGGGGTGATAATTGATCACACAATCATAATCTTTTACCAACTCTAGCCACCTTTGTTGTCTCACATTCAATTCTTTTTATGTAAACAAATATTTCAAGCTTTTATGATCAGTATAACTCTCGTACCATTCTTCATACAAATAATATCTCCATATTTTAAGTGCAAACACAACTGCGGCGAGTTTCAAGTCATGTGTAGGATAATTCTTTTCGTACTCTTTTAGTTGTCTAGAGGCATGTGTAATAACTTTACCATTTTACATATCCCAGACCATTCTTTGAAGCATCATTATAAACCGCAAAGCTTCCAATACCAGATGGGATTGAAAGGATAGGGGCTGAAGTCAGTCTTTTCTTTAATTCAGTCTTTTCTTTAATTCCTGAAAACTTTGCTTATAAGCATCTGTCTATTCAAACTTAGTACTCCTGGTTAATTATGTTAAAGGCGACGATATTTTTGAAAATCCTTCCAGAAATCTACGATAATATCCAGCTAAACCCATAAAACTTCTAACCTTTGAAGGGTTTGTATGGCCAACTATTAATAGCCTCTACTTTACTTGGATCTACTGATGCGACCTGATACTACATGTTCGAAAAATATAACTCTGTCTAACCAAAATTCACATTTCTTAAAATTGCATATAACTAGTCTTTCAAAACCTGATGGACAATTCTCAAGTGTTTACCATGTTCTTCTTTAGTACGAGAATAAATAAGGATATCATTAATAAATATGATGACAGACTTATCAAGGTAATCCTTAAATTGAGATTCATCAAATCCATAAAAGCAATTGGGGCATTTGTCAACCCAAATGACATCACTAAAAACTCATAATGACCATATCTTGTAATAAATGTTGTCTTAGAAATATCATCTTCCTTTATCTTTAGTTGATGGTATCCATATCTCAAATCAATCTACGAGAATATTGTTGCACCGTGAAGTTGATCAAACAAATCTTCAATTCTTGGCAATGGGTATTTATTTTTAATTGTCACCTTATTTAACTCTCAATAATTGATACACAATCTCATTGTACCATTTTTCTTATAAAAAAAGTACTGGTTCACCCCATGGTGAAAAGTCAGGTCTAATAAAACCTTTATCCAACAACTCTTGTAATCGTAACTTCAACTCTTTCAATTCGGTTGGGGCCATTCTATACAGAG